AGAATTAATATCTTCACAATACAAGAGATGTATTTAACCGGTTTCGAATATTTCTTCGTCAGAAAGATATATCACTATGTATTCGAAACCGTTTAAATACATTTGTATTGTGGAGATATTTATGCTCATTCATACATTTTTTTTCTACAATGTTATTTGTTTTAAATTCTTGGTGTTGATTTATCTCTTATTTATTATTTGATCTATTTTATTTTATTTTATTATTTGATCTATTTTATTTATTAATTTATCTATTTTATTGATTATTTTATCTATTGTATTGATTATTTTATCTATTTTATTGATTTTTTATCTACTTTATTTTATTTTATTATTTTATCTATTTTATTTATTATTTCATTTTATTATTTTATCCATTTTAATTATGATTTTATTTATTTCATCTATTTTATTTTATTTTATCTATTTTATTTATTTTATCTATTTTATCTATTATTTTATTTATTTTATCTATTTTATTTATTATTTTATCTATTTTATTTATTATTTTATTTATTATTTTATCTATTTTATCTATTTTATTTATTATTTTATCTATTTTATTTATTTTATCTATTTTATTTATTTTCATTACCATTATTTTTGTTGTTGTTTTTAATCTTTGAATTTGGCTTGATGTTCTCCCTTTTTTATTAGTTAATTTTATTTATTTATTTTCTCTATCTTGCCGGCAATCATAGATTTGGATTTTCCTTTTTCTTAATTTCTTATCAATTTTTCTATCTTTCTTCTTACAGCGTTGCTTATCCTTTCTTTATTTTCCCTTTGTTCATAGCTACAATTATCTAATTGTTGTTGTGTACTGTTGTTAATTTTGTTGTTAATTGTTGTTGTTAATATGGATTTTGGTAACATAACAATAACAACATCCATAATAACTGTAATTTTGTTATAGTATTGGTAATTATTAGGTTAATGGTAATAATGATGATAACGGTAGAGGAGATAATAGCAATAGCATCGTTAATCGTAATCATAATAGCGATAATGAAGATCATAATAAGAATAATTGTGGTATTAGCGGTATGATGGAGATAAAATAAAATAAAATAAAAAAATAAAAATGCGAAATTCATCAGAAACCGCCAATACTTAGCAATAAGATGGTGATAATAAAAATAATTTGAAAAAATAAAATCAAATGCGAAATTCATCAGAAACCGCAAATATTTCTCACAGCAACACATTTCGAGTGATAAAGAAACTTCTGAAATTATTTCATCATAATCTTATTTATTATTCATAAATGCATAACTTTTGTCGTTCGTCGGAAATACACTTTGCTCAAACTTTTTAATACCTCCATTTTTTTTTGTTTTGTTTTCTCTACCTTGTGTTTTTTTTTCTTCTTCTAAATATGGTAAAATTATAATGAGAATGATGATGAATGAGTGAGAGAGAGTGAGAGAGAGAGAGAGAGAGAGAGAGAGAGAGAGAGAGAGAGAGAGAGAGAGAGAGAGAGAGAGAGAGAGAGAGAGAGAGAGAGAGAGAGAGAGAGAGAGAGAGAGAGAGAGATAGAGAGATAGAGAGATAGAGAGATAGAGAGATAGAGATAGTAAGTGAGTGCGTGAGTTAGAGAGAAAGTGAGTTAGAGAGAGACAGAAAAGAGTGAGTAAGAGTGAGAGAGAGTAAGTGAAGAAGAAAGTGAGAGCGAGAGAGTGAGTGAGAGAGTGATAGTGTGTGCATGGGAGAGAATGTATGAGTGAGTGAGTGAGTGAGTAAGAGAGAGAGAGAGAGAGAACGGAAGAGAGACAGAGAGAGACAGAGAGAAATAACTTGTGTGTATGTGTGAATGAGTGTGTGTGAGAGTGAGAGTATGTATGTATGTATGTGTGTGCAAATGTAAGTGTACTTGTGAGAATGAGTGTGAGTGTCCGAATGAGAGAATGAGTAAGCGTAAGTGTCAGAAAGTGAGTGCAAGTGAGAGTGTGAGCGAGTGAATGTGAACGTGTGAGAATGAGAGTAAAAGTGAGAGTGAGAGAGGAAATAAGTGTCCAACGCCAAGCTGGTAAAAACAAAAACAAGGATTGCATATTAACCCTTTACTTTGTATGCAAGCATTGATAATGTACAAAAATGACTGAAACACTATTTACAAAAATATTCAAGCAGAACATTCACTTTTTTGTATATGCAACATTCTCAGTGCGACTAGACACAAAAATATATATGTGTATATAAAGTAAATCCGTTTCTTATCTGGTAATTTACAAAATAAATCGTATTTTTTCTTCACCGTACATGAAAGAAAATGAAAACAATAGAGTAATTATTTTTATATTTATCACAATAATTTCTTTTAAAAAACAAAAGGCTTCGAATTGAAGTCTGTCGACTGAACTGAGAGAAAAAGGCAAGAAAAAAAATTACAAAAAACATGAATTAAAAACAATGACATTAAAATTAAACATGAATTTGTAACTTCTTTTGAAGACGACATGCACTTCGATGTGTTATATATTATATAATAATATATATATATATATATATATATATAATATATATATATATATATTTAAGGGTCAGGGAAATAAATAAGTATAACAAAGATGAAAAAGGTTTTAAATTCGAAGGCTAATTAATACCATTTTCGCTCTCACACTGTGATTCAGAACAGACAGACATATATTGAGTACACGTTACATTATATCATGAGGGGGAAAAGGCCTCTATCAACACTGATATATATATATATATATATATATATATATATATATATATATATATATATATATATAATATATATATATATATATATATGAGAGGCTCCGGACTGGGCTGTAAGACTAGAACGCAAGGCAGAGAGCCTGCATAATTTTCCCACTCTTCTCTCGAAATATATTTAAACATTTATATCATTAAGTTATTTAACATACTGGGCTTTATATGAACAGGATATTAGTTCACCATCACTCAAACACAGCTTCGTTGTGAACAGTAGAGTTTTGAACAAACGCGAAGAAATAAGAAAGGGACTATATAACGCTTCTAAAATGTTCAAAAACAGCTGATTTAAGTATCAAAACAAGATGCACATTTTTTTTCTTCTCTCTCCCTAAACTTTTAAGGGAGTTTAAAAGTTAGCAAAACACTTTCATTATTCATTCTCAAGGATGTAAGACTAAACTCTCCTATTCTCCTTATTTTTTTCCATGTCTTTCTCTTCTTCTTTCTCTTCTTATTTCTTTCTTTTCTTATTTACACTTTTGTCGTAGTATTTCTTCGTTTGTCTTGCTGACTTTGGGTATAAAAGGGAGAGCGAAGAAGAGAGATGGAGGTGGGGAAGTGAATAGATAGAAGGGGAAGGGGAGGGGGGAAGGGCGAGGAAGAGGGAGAGAGAAGGAGGAGGGGGGAAGGAGAGAGAAGGAGGAGAGAGGGAGGAGGGGGGAAGAGGAAGAGAGAATGAGAGGGGAAGAGAAGAGAGGAGAGGAGGAGGAGGAGAAAGAGGAGAGAGGAGGAAGGAGGAGGGGGAAGAGGAAGAGAGGTGGGAAGGAGGAGGGGAGGGACAAGGCTACTGGAGGGGGGGGGAGTTCTCCTGACCTCTTCTTCTCATTGAGTCTCAAAGAGGGATATCTTACAGGTACTTTTGTATTGTTTTCTTTTGTCATTTTGTACGTATCATCACCTCTTTTCTTCTCTCTCATATGGGCTCATTTTTTTTTCTCTTTCTCTCCCTCTTCTTCCTTTTTATTTTCAGTTTTTTTTGTTCCTTTTCAACTCGTTCCTTTCGTGTTATTTTCATTTTCTCTTCTACTTCCTCTTCCTTTTTTTTATTCTTCTCTTTCTTTCACATTTTTTCCTCCTCCTCAGGTATTCCAAACAATTTATTCTTCGCTTAAATTTCATTTTTCTTATTTTCTTTATATTTTCTGTTTCTCCAATATCACCTCTTTCTCCTTCTTCTTTATGTTTTTCTTCTGCTTCTCCTCTTCTGCTTTTCCTATCTTCTTCCATTTCCCATTTTCTTCTTTTCCTTTTCCTTTATTCGGAGGAGGTGGGAGGGGGAGGAGGGGGAGACAGACAAGGAAAGGAAGAAAGAACAAACTGGAAAGAATATTTTCTAAAAAAAAAAAAAAAAAAACGCGAACTTACCAATAATAATAATAATAATAATAATAATAATAATAATAATAATAATAATAATAATAATAATAATAATAATAATAATAATAATAATAATAATAATAATAATAATAATAATAATAATAATAATAATAATAATAATAATAATAATAATAAAAACATAGATCTCTTTATATAACATAAATAAAGGGAAGAATTAGAGCTATCAATTTAATACAAGCACGAATGGTGTGAAGAGATAGAAGGGAGAGAGAGGGTGAGGAGAAGAGAGAAAATTGAAACAGAAAGGAAATTGACAATGAGAAATAATAAGACGGAGAGAGAGAGAGAGGGAGAGAGAGAGAGAGGAGAGAGAGAGAGAGAGAGAGAGAGAGAGAGAGAGAGAGAGAGAGAGAGAGAGAGAGAGAGAGAGAGAGAGAGAAATAAAGAAAGAGAGAGAAAGAGAAAAAGGAAATAAATATAAACAAGGCAAAAAAAAATCAATTATCGGCGAAAACACTTTTGAACATCCTACACTTAGACGAAAAAAATAATTCATAGCCACAAACATAACATCAAAAGCGAATGAAAGACAAGCTTAAAAAATATTACAAAAAACATTTTTTTTACATATATATATACACAAAACAACCTGCCAGAGAGACGAGAGACTTCATACAAAAGAGAGGCGCAAAAAACAGAAGCAACAAGAAACGAAAAGAAGAGAGAACTAGAAAAAGGCGATGATAAAGACAGAACTAGAAACGAATATAAAGAGAGAACTAGAAAAAGACGAAGATAAAGAGAGAACTGAAATAAGAGAGAGAAAAAAGACTAAGAAGAACTAGAAAAGACGAAGATAAAGAGAGAACCAAAAAAAAGCGACATAAGAGAGAACTAGAAAAAAAGGCGAAGATAAAGAGAGAACCAGAAAAAAGGCGAAGATAAAGAGAGAACTAGAAGAAAGCGAAGATAAAGTGTAGACAAGGGAGAAACAAGAGGACGGGGGCGATGTCCAGCGGGGGGGCGAAGTCAGTCAGCAAGAAGCCTGAAAGGGAGAGAAGAAAAAAAATAATTAGTGGCATTAATGCGTTATGAAACTGGTAGGGAGGGAGAAGGAAAGTAGGGGAGGGAGAGAGTGGGAGGGAGCGGAGGGGAAGGAAAGAGGGAGAGGAAGGGGGAGGGAGGGAGGGGAGGGGGGGGAAAGGGGAGGGGAGCAGGAGGGAGGGTGGGAGGTGGAAATAAGGAAAGGGAGGGGAATGGGAATATGGCAATGGGGGAGGGTGTGGAAATAAGAAAGGGGAGAGGGGGGGAAGAGGAAAGGGAGGGCCAGGGGAAGGAGGTGGAAGTAGGGAAAGGGAGGGGAGGGGGATGGAAATGGGGAAGGAAGAGAGAAAATGGGATTAGGGGTTAGGAAAGAAGGGGAAAGAGGGAGAGGAACAGGCGATGGAGGATATTAAGTTCACAAAAATATAATAATAAAACCCCACCAGTCATCCATGCATCCATCTATCTATCTGTATCTGTTTCATCAGTCAGTTAGTCAGTCATCCGTTAGTCCGTCCGACCGTCCGTCAGTCCGTTAGTACGTTAGTGCGTTAGGTCGTCAGTCAGTCAGTAGTCAGTAAGTAAGTAAGTAAGTAAGTAAGTAAGTAAGTAAGTAAGTAAGTAAGTAAGTAAGTAAGTAAGTAAGTAAGTAAGTAAGTAAGTAAGTAAGTAAGTAAGTCAGTCAGTTAGTTAGTCAGTCAAAGGGTCAATCAAGTCAGTCATTCCATCCGTTCATCCGTCCGTTAGGCAGTCAGCCAGTCAGTCCCGTCTGTCAGTACCACCCACCCACCCACCCCCCCCCCACAACCCACCCCACCCCACCCCCTTGACCCACCCCCCACCCCCAACCCACCTTGTGAATTATACCCGCTGGCGCCGGCGAGGCCCTCCGCGCCACCCCTGAAGGACGACCTCGGAGCTCTTCCAGTACAGCTTCGGGTAAGAGGCCACGCACTTGATCCTGACCTGACCTCGCTCGACCTGGCCTGGGCGGAGCGAGAAGGTCAGGCCGAGCCACGCCGTCTCCAGCTGCGTCTCGGGGTCAGAGGTCACCTGCGGTTCCGTCGTTCCGGTCAGGAGGGGTCGACCTGGGGGGGAGAGAAAGAGGAGGGGGGGGGTTAGTAAGAAAGGGGAGGGAAGGAGAGGAGTAAGAGGAGCAAGGGGGACAACAAGAAAACCAGATAAATTTACTCTATAAGACTCATCGAAGACCTTTCATAGCGTCAGTAATTAAATACTTTTTAACAAACTATCAAATCACGGAATTGATAACTTTTGTTTCAAAAATTACTTGTCAGCGAGAACTCAATCAGTCAAAATCCATGAACAATTATCATCAAAGCAACAAGTTTCGTTCGGTGTTCCACAAGACTCCATCCTAGGCCCAATCTTTTTCACCATTTTCATATTATTTATTTTATATTAATTTAATCAATGATTGGCATTATCAATTAAAATAATAATTTTTTTCATTATATTCATTATATTAATGATCTGTCATCAATTGCAAAAAACTGTCTACTTCAGTACTGATGACTCTCAATTTCTTCACGCGCCTCTGTTAACAATTTAAATGAGTTGATGGAAAAGCAAAAAACCCTAACTGAAGCAAAACAATACTTCATCATGAACGACCTGAAGCTAAATCCACAGAAAACACAATGTATATTTATAGGTAGCCGTCAGAACATTGCAAAAATACCCACAGATACAGATATAGAATTACAAGGTTGCTACATCAATCACAATCCAACTGTAAAAAAATCTAGGAGTATACATAGACAGATAAATGGCATTTGAGATACACGTTGACCACATTTACAAGAAAGTAATGAGCACTCCGATATGCTTAAATAACATCAAATATAAAATACCCGCAGAAATAATAATTGCTGTTATATAAACATTAGCACTTAGTATAAATAATTACTACCTAAACATCTGGGGCTTCAGAAATAAAACACCAATACAAAGGACACAGAAACTACAGAACTTTGCAGCAAGAGTAGCAATAGAAAATATTCGGGCCCTGGCCAGGGCCCCCGCCCCGAAAAAAAACAAAAAAAAAAACAATCAATCCCCATCCAACTGAACCGAAAATAAGGGGGCCGGCCACAGGGCTATATATTAACAACTTTCCTTCCATAAACTATAACCAGAGACCTACTTAAGTTCACTTCTTCTCAGCAACCACAAGGAATTGGATGGAGTTCTTGGGCATGTTAGAAAGGTCTCGAGGTCCTGTGTGGCTTAGGCTTTGTGGCGTTCCGATAAGGGGTCCCTATAAGGGGACAGGACGCAAAACCCCCCTAAAATACCACTTAAATATTGAAGCAATAGTACATAGTTACATGTTTATTTAGGGTGCTATGGAAACCTATCACAGAGTAAAATACTAAATTAGGCTGGGTATGGTATGAAAATTTACATACCCCTTATAGACCCCTTAAATATAGCGGGTGTCCATACAAGGCAAAATAACTGCTTATATATCAAAATATCGAATACAGAAACCGGTGCAAGAAATATGGTGATTTGGAACCAATTAACTAAAAATATTTGAAATATTTCCAACCAAAAGACATTTAAAATAAAAGTGAAAGGATATCTACTGAAATATCAATGACACAGGCGCTTCAAATATCAAGCCGAGCACGATATTTCAATCCTTATGATATTAGTGTTCAGTGTAATTTTGATTTCAGAATAATTGTATAATATCTATGTTCATCTTGCATAATGTAAACACCCTATGTGTGTAATAGAATACCCACTGTAATTAATAGAATTAAGTGTTAGAATTTGAATTGGATTCCTCCCCTCCCCTCCCTTCACCCCTCACCCTGCCTACCCCCCCTTCCCCTCCTTACTACCTCACCCTCCCTCCCTACCTCCTCCTTTTCTCCCCACCCCCTCCCTACACTCCCCCTCCCTACCCCATCGTCCCCCTTTCCCCAACCCCCTCCCCTCCTACCCTTTCCCCTCTTTCCTCCCAACCCCCAACCCCCTCCCCTCTCCCCTTTCCCCCCTCTTACCGTTACACATCGTGACGTAGAAGGCGAGGTCGGGGCGCCGGCTTGGCCCGTGGGAGGAGCAGTTGAGGTTGATGACGTCACCGATTCGGAAGACCTCGTTCCCGCCCCCGCCGAGAGGACCGGCCGCTCGTCGGGGAGGTCTGGCTTAGCAAGGGCGGGGAGAGAGAGAAGGGGTGTTAGGGGGAGCTTAGGGGCGGGGAGAGAGGGAGGGGAGGGGGGAGAGAGGAGAGAGAGAGAGAGGGGGGGGAGAGAGAGAGGGGGGAGAGGAGAAGAAGAGAGGGGGGAGGGAGAGAGAGAGAGAGGGGGAGAGGGGCGAGGGAGAGAGAGGGGGAGAGGGAGGGAGGGAGGGAGGGAGAGAGGAGAAGAGGGGGGGAGAGGAAAGAGGGGGAGACGGAGAGAGAGGGGGAGAGAGGGGGAGAGGGGGTGTTAGTAGCGATGTTATCTGAGCTTGGTTTTTTATCGTTTACGTCATCAATCATCATTAGTATCATCATTATCACTATCTATCACCATTATTATCACCATCATTATTATAACTATTATTATTATCACTATCATTATCACATCGTATTATCACTATCATTATCACCATCATTATTATTATCATATTAACCATTATTATCACCATTCATCATCATATCTATTTGCCTTCCTAATTCCCTATAATCTACGCTCTCTGACGAACGAATGAATGAAAATATTTATGAAAAAAATATAAATAAATCTGTTCATAAATTTTCGAGTTTTTCTTCTAACCAACTAACCAATAAACAAACAAACAAAAAATCAAATTATTAAATTATTAAATAAAATTAAAAAATAAAATTCAAAATGAAAATTAACTGCGAATAATATATTATTCAAATTAAAGAGATGGAGGATAATTATATAGACAAATTATGAAGAAAAAATATAAATAGACTACAAGTGTCCTACATAGATTAAACTATTATATAAGAATTTGAAAAAAAAAATCATAAACAGGTACTTAAATACTTATAAAAGTTGATGAATAGTTATAAATACTTAAATAAGAAATTATACATAGATGAAGAAACGAAAAAGTAGACGAAAGCGAATAAAACAAATTTAAGTGAATGCTGAAAGTTATACAAAGATAAATATTTAGACAGAAAAGTAGAGAATTAACAACCAATTATACTTTGCTAAATACCTAGTTATAAATAGATAAGTAGTTAGTAAAAAAGAGAAAAACATATACATAAATACATGGAAAAGAACACACACACACACACACACACACACACACACACACACACACACACACACACACACACACACACACACACACACACACACACACGTGTATATATATATATATATATATATATATATATATATATATATATATATATATATATATATATATATATATATATATATTACATATATACATATATAAAGCGCAAACCAGCAAGTGGCAACATCCATGATGCCAACACACGATCAAAACAATTACGAACCAATTTCTCTCTTTTTTTCTTTCTTATTCATCCTGAAGTTCAAAGGTCAGCGAAATCAAATAACAGTTTTATTTGAGAACTTTATAAGCTTTCGGTTGACATTATCTGAACTTCGACAACTTAATTAACTTTCATTATAGTCTCTGAACAGTTATGGCTTCCGTGAGTTGCCAGAAACAAAAAAAAAATAAATTTATTTTCAAAAGTTGCCAGAAACCATTTTTTTCGTTTATTTTTTAAAAGTCCGTGCTTATGGCTACTATTGTATAGCTCTTTATTGATGTAAATATACATGTTTTTGCCTTTTAATCTATCTATATACAATATATATGTATATATGTAGATGTACGTGCACTTATATATCATATTCATACGTCTATCTATCTATCTATCTATCTATCTATCTATCTATCTATCTGAAAAAATAACAAGAAAATAAAACATGCATTTCAATCAACCTATGACGCCTACAACAACAACAACAAATTAAATTCAGAGCAGAACGAAAATACAAATACAGTATCACCCCCACTGCTACAACAAAACAAAGAAAAAAAATGCAAAGTGAAAAAGTGTGATTGAAAAAAACAAACAAACTTAATCGACCTCTTTATCAACAACAATGACAATAAAAACAATAACAATAACATCACTAATAACAACACCATAACAATAACATCATCAACAATAATAACAAAAATAACATCTATAATAACAACAATACCACCATCAACAATAACAACAATAACAATAACATCTATAATAACACAACAACAATGACAATAAAAAAAAACAATAACAACAATAACAATGACAACAAAAACTTCGACGACGTTCAACAACAAGAATAACAAGAATAAGAACAACAATAATAATATCAATAACAATAACATCATCAACAATGACAAAACAACAACAAAAATAATAACAATGACAACAATAACTTCGTCGACAACGTTCAACAACAACAACAACAACAACGATGAAGACGTTTCATAACAACAGCAGCATTAACAAGTCTATCAGTATAATTAAACACAACATTTACCAAAATTAGGCCGCATACCCAAACCCACAAAAATACCTAACAGAGTGAAATTTTTTTTTTTACATAAAAAATTAAAACATTTTTTTGCTTTTTGTATTTTTTTTATGTTTTTCTTAATTTTTAAAATACTTTCTTTCATTTTTTTTCTTTTTTTCTTTCTTCTTTTTTTTTTTACCTTTATCATTTTTTCTTCTTTCCTAATCGACACTATTGGACGAAATCAAGAATGACTCATAAATAACTTATTTTTCCTCTTCTTTCACTGGGTCCGATTCTGTATGCAAATGAAGTGGGACGAGCGACGAGGGGGCCTGGCTATGAAGTGGACGAGCAGTGTGGAGAGAGAAGAATCTGATGTAAAAGTATAGATTTTAAAAGGAAGAGAGAGAGAGAGAGGAGAGAGAGAGAGAGAGAGAGAGAGAGAGAGAGAGAGAGAGAGAGAGAGAGAGAGAGAGAGAGAGAGAGAGAGAGAGAGAGAGAGAGAGAGAGAGAGAGGCGAATTTATGGATGAAATAGGAATGAGATGTAGAATGTGTTTGTGTATGAGAGAGAGCGGGGGAGAAGGGGGGAGGAGGAGGGAGGAGGGAGGGAGGCGAGGGGAGGGAGAGGGAGGAGAGGGAGAGAAGCAGAGAGAGTAGAGAGAGGAGAGAGAGAGAGTAAGAGAGAGAGAGGAGAGAGAATGAGAGAAGAGAGACGAGAGAGAGAGATAGAGATAGAGAGAGATGAGAACGGAGAGTGGAGGGTACAGGGAGGGAGGGAGGGAGAGAGGGAGAGGAGGAGAGGGAGAGGGAGGGAGAGGGAGAGGGAGGGAGAGGAGAGGCAAGAGGGAGAGGCGGGAAAGGGAGGAGGTGAAGGAGAGAGAGAGTTAGAGAGAGAAGTTAGAGAGTTAGAGAGAGAGGAGAGAATTAAAGATGGATAGGACATCGAGAGAGAGAAGAGAGAAGAGACGCAGAGGAGAGAAGCAGAGAGAGAGAGAGAGAGAGAAGAGGAGAGAAGAGAGATAAGAGAGAGAGAAAGCATAGAGAGGAGGATGGAGGAGAGAGAGAACAGAAAAAAGAGAGGCAGAACTATCAAATTTCATTAAAAAAATTATAAAGCATCTATCTTTCCTTTTACCTTCATACCACATACTTTTACGCAGGTACATACATATTCTTTACAATACCGACAATATTGATGGTGATCATGGTGATCATGGTGAATATAAGAATATTAATGTTCTTTCTAAACAACTACCACTATAACTATTATCATTGTCATCTGCATAATAATAAGGATAAAATAAATTAAATGATAATGAATACCGATAATCATGATTAAGATTAAGTGATAATGATGATTATTAAAAAATAACTAAAAATATGTATCAAATAACAACAGTTCCTAAGAGTAATGATGATAAAGAATTAAGAAATAAGAATAAAAAATGAGAGGAATGATCGAAAGAGTTACGAATAACTTTTCTAGAGTAATAATCCTTTTCTAATTCTACCCCCCCCCCCCTGATGGCATGGGGCGAGGGGTCTATTACCCGTTCCTACCCCATACCGATTGCCTTCCCACCCCCCACCCCCCTCCCTACTCACTCGTTCGCTACTTTCCATTATTTTTTTATCCACCTGTTTCCCCTCCTTTCTCCCTCTCCCCGCGCCCACCTCCCCTCTGTCCTATCTAATTCTTCTCGGCCCACTCCCTCCCCTTCCATGTCTTCCTCTCTCCCTCTCCCACCCGCCCATGTCTTCCACTTCTTCGTCTTTCTTCGTCTTCTCCTCCCCACTCTCCCCTCTCCCTTCTTTCCCCGCCACTTCCCCTCTCCCTTTAAACCCCCCTGGGTCTCTCTTCTCTCTCTCTCTCTCTCTCTCTCTTCTCTCTCTCTCTCTCTCTCTCTCTCCTTCTTTCAAACCCACCAACCCCTCTTCCTCTGTTCCTCTCACCCCGCCCTCTCTCCCTCTCCACACTTACTGCCCTTCTCCAGCTCCACCTCTACCCACCTTCTCCCTCTATTCTCCCCTCTCCCTTCACTCCAACCTTTTCTCCCGGCTTGTACCCCTTCCCCTTTTCACCTCCACTTCATCCCCTCTCCCGCCTCCAGGAATATTGATCTTCCACTCCACCTATTTTTCTCATTCCCATCAAACTCTTATTCCCACTCCATCCCCTCCTCTCTCTATTCCAACCTCTTTCCCTTCTCCCTCTTCCTCTTACCCCCACTCCAACCCTTCCCCCCCCCTCTCTCTTCCCTCTCATTCCCACCTCCAACCCCCTTTCCCTCTCCCTCTCCCACTACCCACCACCCCTTCTCCCTCTCCCCAACTCCTCCTTCCTCTCCCACTCTTTCCCCCATTCCCCCTTTCCCTCCCAACTTCTCCCTCTCCCAACTCCTCCTTCCTCTTCCCACTCTTCCCCCATCCCCTTTCCCTCCCAACCCCCTCTTCCCCCCACCCCTCCCTCTCTCCCCCCACCCCTCCTCTCTCTCCCCCAGGGGGGGGGGGGGGCCCCCCTCCTCTCCCACCCCTTCTCCCTCTTCCTCCCCCCTCCCCTTCTCCCTCTCCCCTTCCCCCAACCCCATCCCCTTTCTTCCCTCTTTTCCTCCCCCTCCCCCCAACCCCCCTCCCATTTCTCCCTCTTCCTCCTCCCTCTCCCTCTCCCTCTCATCCACTCCTCCTCCACTCCCCACCCCTTCTCCCCCTGCCCCTTCCACCCCCCTTCGTTTCCCACCCCTCCCAACTCCCCCACCCCAACAGCCCCCCACCCCCCTCACCACCGACGACCGGTGGATGGACGGCGGAGCGGAAGGAGGTCTGGAAAGGATGGCGCCTCCCCGGGACACTCGCAGCGGTAGGGTCCGCTCGCCGCCAGCGTCACGTTGCGGATCCTGACGCGGCCGCCCTCGGACTCCCGCAGGTCGACGCTGAGCCGGGGCGTCCATCGGGAAGGCTTGGCGGCGGCGTCTCCTGCGGCGTCCAGCGGTAGAACTCGCGGATGCCTTGGTACCACTTGAGGGTGTACACGTGGTCGCCGTCGTACGTCCACTCGCACTCCAGCACGCCGCCCTCGCCCACGGCCAGGGGGGTCGGGACGCTCACCCGCGTGATGGTGATGCCGTGGGCGGGCCTGCGGGGAGGAAAAGAAGAAGAATTAAATGTAGGGTTGTAAAGGTCAATAAAAAAATAATCTGTGGAGTGAAAAAAATATATGGTTTCTTTTACAAAATGTAAAAAAAAAAATCAAGCGTATAAAAAAAAGAAAAAGTGTAGGATTGTAAAAGTGAAGAAAATATCTGTTGGAAAAAAGTGTATATTTCTTTTATAATATGTAAAAAAACAGTAAGAGTAAGAAGAAAATAAACACGTAAAATATGTTATATTTATAGAATTATAAAACACGGAAATAAGAATAATTATCCAGTGAAATGATATTAGTTGGGCAAACATACAAAAACAGAAAAAATAAAGAAAATCTCTCTCTCTCTCTCTCTCTCTCTCCTCTCCTTTCCTTCTCTCTCCCTTCCCCACCATCCCTCTCCCTTCTCTCTCTCCTTTCTCATCCATTCCCTCTATCCCTCTCTCCCCCTAACCCTCTTTCTCTCCTTTCCCTCTCCCTCTGTCCCATTTCCTCACCCCTTTCCCTCTCTCCCTTCCCCTACATCCCTCTGTCCCCTTCCCTCAGCCCTCTCCCTCTTTATCTCTCCCTTCCCTTACATCTCTCCCTCTCTCTCCCTAACCCTCTCCCTCTCTCTCTCTCCCTCTCTCTCTCTCCCCTTCTCTCCATCCCTCTCTCCCACACAAAAAGTATTATACAATGTTTTGTGTGTTTTCTTAATAGTGTCTGTGTTTTGGAAGATTGCGAAGGTGACTGGGGATAGACAGAATATAAATGAAGGATTTGGGGAAGGATACTGAAAAGGGGGAAGTGGGATAAAAGAGAAAGGGGGAGAGGGAGAGGGGAGGAAAGTGGGAAAAGGGATGGATTAAGTGGAAGCGGGAGAGACCGAAACAGGGAGATGAAGAGGGGAGGAAAGAGATAAAAAGAGGAAGAGAGAGAGAGAGAGAGACGAGACAGAGATAGATAGAATAGAAGATAGATAGAAGATAGATAGATAGATAGATAGATAGATGAGAGAGAAAGAGAGAGAGAGAGAGAGAGAGAGAGAGAGAGAGAGAGAGAGAGAGAGAGAGAGAGAGAGAGAGAGAGAGAGAGAGAGAGAGAGAGAGAGTGAGAGTGAGATATCAGCTGCAAGAGAAGAAGATAAAGAGAAAGAGCAATCAAAATAAAAGAAGACGAGAAGAGAAACAAGGACAGAAGAAAATTAAAAATAAGAAAAAAAAACAAAGTAGGTAAAGTAGCCGAGAACCCCCCCCCCCAAAAAAAGGAAAACACCCAAATTAAAGCAAGCAAGCAAGAACCCGGCCACTCCCCTCCCTCCCACCCTCCACACACTCATCATCACAACACCCCCTCCACTACAAAGCCTGGCGGTAATCTTCTTTGGCGAACCTGCTGCAAAATGCATGAGCCGCACTTGTTGCCTTGACAAACAGAGGGGGGGAGGGAGTGAGTGTGGGGAGTTGTGAGGGGGTGGAGGAGGGGAAGGGAGGGGTGTTGAGGGAGGGGGTGAGGGAAGAGGTGAGGGAGGGGGGCAGGAGGGGTGAGGGAGGGGGAGAGGGAGGGGGTGAGGGGAGGAGGGGGGGTGAGGGAATTTGGGGAGGGGGTGGGGAGTTATGGGAGGGGGGTGGAGGAGGGAAGGGAGTTGGGGACTTGTGGAGGGTTGGTGGAGTTGTGGGAGTGGGGAGGACGGGAGGAGTGGAGGGAGTAGGGGAAACGAGGGGGGGATGAGGTGGGGGGGAGTATGAGAGGAGGTGGGGGAGTTGGGGAGTAGAAAAGGGGGTGGGGAAGTAGGAGAGTTGTGGGGAGGGGTGGGGGTACGGGAAGTAGGGGAGGAGGTTGGGGTTGGGGGTGGGGACAGGGGTGTGGGGGAGTTGTGAAGGAGTTGTGGAGGAGAGGAGGGGGTGGAAGAGTAGGGGAAGGAGTATGGAGTGGGAAGAAAGGGAGACAGAAAGAAGGGAGTGAGAAAGAGTGAATGAGGGGGAGTAAGAGAGTACGAAAAGAGAGGGAATGAGAGGAAGAGACAGAAAGAAGAAAAGGAGAGTAGAAGAAGAAAGAAAAGGAAGAAAAAGAAAAAGTGAAACAGGAAGTGGAGATACATAGAAAGAGAAAAAAGACACAGGCAAAGATCAGATAACACAAGGACAGAGGAGTAACAGCAAATAAAAAGTATGACATATGTAAAAAAAAAAAAAAAAAATGATAATAATAATATCAATCAATCTATCTAAAAAATGAAACAAAAAAACAAAGAAGAAACAAAAATAAAAGAAAAAAAAAAAGAAAAAAAAGAAAAAAATTAAACCACAAGTAACAAACCAAAGCAACCCCACCCCAAACCCTCATTAACCTCCGCCTCCCTTCCCCCCTCCCCCCCTCTACCACGACACGAAAGCAAACCCACCGACGAAACCGAGAGACGTGGGCGCATCCGTGACCCACCTTCGCCCACCTTCGCCCACCGTCCAAACTCCTCCCCCAACCCCCTCCCCCCACCCCCCTCACCCCTTCCCCTTTTCCTTCCCCTTAACAAAAAAAAAAAAAATTGAGCAATAACACACATCCTATCCCCCTCCCCTTCCCCCCCCCAAAAAAAAAGAATTAGAAAAAAAAATCGCAGAAAAGAATAATAATAATAAAAAATCTCCACTAACAGAAAGAAAAAATCTTTGACCCCTTCCTACTCCACCTCCCTTCTCCCCACCTCCCCTCCCCTTTACCCTCACCCTCCCTCTTCAATAATAATAAAAAAAAACGTAAAGGGCGCACCATTCTCTCTCTCTCTCTGTCTCCCTATCTATTTATCTATCTATCTCTTTCTCTTTTTCTCCCTCTCTCTTTCCTCTATACCCCCCTTTCCTATTCTATCTCTTTCCTCCCCCTTTACCCTCTCTCTCCCTCCTTTCCTCCCTCCCTCCTTCCCTCCCCTCCCCTCCTCCTTCCCTCCCTCCCTCTCCCCTCTCCCTCTCCTCCCTCTCTCCTCCTTCCTCACTCCTCCCTCCCTCCCTCTCTCCCTCCTCTCCCTCCCTCCCTCCCTCCCTCCCTCCCTCCTCCCTCCCCCCTCCCTCCCTCCCTCCCTCCTCTCCCTCCTCTCTCTCCTCTCTCTCTCTCTCTCTCTCCCTCTCTCTCTCTCGCCCAAAAGAAAAGAAAAATTCTTCCCCTGACTTCACTCCGCCTGACACCTGATGCGACCGCCTCTTCCTTGACTCCATTTTGTGCCTCGCGTTTTTCTCTCTCTCTTTCTCACTTTTGTTGTTGTTGTGTTTCTTTTTTTTTCTTTCTTTCTCTTTGGTGTCTTTCGCTCTTGTGTGTGTGTTTTTTTTTTTTTTTTTTTTGGGGGGGGGTTGGTTTTCTGTTTTCCCTATTCTCTTTTTCGTTTTTTTTTTCTTTTTTTCTTTCTTCTTCTTCTTCTTTTTCTTCTTCTACTCCTTCTCCTTCTCCTCTTCTTCGCTTGGAGTATAAAGTTTCATAGTAAAGCGCCTTTCATTCTTCTTTCATTTATCTCCTCCTCCTCCTCCTCCTCATTCTTCTCTTCCTCTCTATATCCTATTCTTTCTACCTCTCTTTTCTCTCTCTTCTCCCTCTTATCTCTATGACGTTTTGTGTTTTTCATTTTTCTCTTTGTTTATGACCCAATCTATTTATCTATTTATTTATTTTTTGTTTTCATTTTTTTCTGTATTACCATCATCAACGTTTCATATTCTCAATCTATTTTTACGTTTCTTACTTTATCTCGTCTTTGTTTTCTCCTCTCTCCTCTTCTCCTCTCTCCTCTCTCTCTCTCTCTCTCTCTCTCTCTCTCTCTCTCTCTCTCTCTCTCTCTCTCTCTCTCTCTCTCTCGAGAGAAGAGAAGAAGAGAGGAGAAGAAAAAAAGAAAAAAAAAAAAACGAAAAAAAAGCCCGAGGATACTCTCTCTCCTATCCTCCCCCCTCACCTCCCCCCTCATTCACCCTTCCCTCCCCCTCCCCCCCCCCCCTCCCCCCCACCTCCTCCTCCCCCAAAAAAAAAGCTAAAAAAAAGCTAAAAAAAAAAAAAAAAAAAAAAAAAAAAAAGTATTTGACCTTGGCTGACACAATCCCGCTGACCAATCAATCACACGCTAATGACATGTCACGTATGATCATCGGCGCACTTTGTCGGTGTCCTGTGACCCCCTTCCCCCACCTCCCGCATGCCACCCTCGCTTATATACCCCCTTTTTTCCTCTTCTCTTCTCCTCTGTTGTCTCTCTTCTCTCATCTTCTCCTCTCTCTCTCTTTCTCTTATCTTTTTCCCCTGCTCCCTTTTCTTTCCTCTCTTCTTTTCTCTCTTTCTCCTCCTCCTTCTTCTCCTCTCTCTCTCTCTCTCTCTTTTCTCTCTCTCTCTTCTCTCTCTCTCTCTCTCTCTCTCTCTCTCGTTCTTTCTCTCTCTCTCTCTTTCTGCTCTCTCTTCTCTTTCTTCTCTCTCTCTTTCTTCTCTACTAAACTATTTTTTCGCTCCTCTCTATCCTAATTTTATACTCCTCTGCTCTTTCTTATTTTTCTGCTTTCTTTTATTCCCTCTTTAATTTCCATTTCTCATACTTCCTTCTTTCTCTATCTCTCTGCCCCACTCCTGTATCCTTTCTCTCCCCTCCTTCCATAATTTTTCCTCTCCCTTCCATCTATCTCTTTCTTTTATTCCAGCCTCTCCTTATCCCATGTTTTTTCCCTCTTCTTCTTTTCAATCCCCCTGCTTTCCCACCATCCTCTCCCCCTCCCCCTCTCCCACCCCCTTCCTTCCCTCCCCTTTTCTAACCCCGCCCCCTCGCCGCCCGTCGCTGCAACCCATGATTAAAAGAAAAAAAAATAATAGATTTTGCATATCATGTGTTTATTGTGGGCGTGCGTGGGAGCGCCGTGTAGTGATGTCCTCTCTCTCTCTCTCTCTGTTCTCCTGTCCTGTCTGTCTGTCTGTCTGTCCCCCTGTCTGTTGTCTGTCTGGTCTGTCTGTCTGTCTGTCTTGTCCTGTCTGTCTGTCCTGTCTTCTCTCGTCTCTCTGCTCTCTGGCTCTGTCTCTGTCTCTCTCTCTCTCTCTGTGTGTGTGGTGTGTGTGTGTGTTGTGTGTGTGTGTGTGTGTGTGTGTGTGTGTGGTGTGTTGGGGTTGGGTGTGTGTGTTGTGTGTGTGTGTGTGTGGAGAGAGAGAGAGAAGAGAGAGAGAGAGAGAGAGAGAGAGAGAGAGAGAGAGGAGAGAGAGAGAGAGGAGAGAGAGAGAGAGAGAGAGAGCTAGAGAAGAGATGAGAGAGAGAGAGAGAGCGAGAGAGAGAGAGAGAGAGAGAGAGAGAGAGAGAGAGAGAGAGAGAGAGAGAGAGAGAGAGAGAGAGAGAGAGAGAGAGAGAGAGAGAGAGAGAGAGAGAGAGAGAGAGAGAGAGAGAGAGAGAGAGAGAGAGAAGAGAGAGAGAGAGAGAGAGAGAGAGAGAGAGAGAGAGGAGAGAGAGAGAGAGAGAGAAGAGAGAGAGAGAGAGAGGAGAAAGAGAGGAGAGAGAGAGAGAGAGAGAGAGAAGAGAGAGAGAGAGAGAGAGAGAGAAGAGAGAAGATGAGAGAGAGATGGAAGAGAGATGAGAGAGAGAGAAAGGAAGAGAGAGAGAGATGAGAGAGAGACGGAGAGAGAGAGAGAGAGAGAAGAGAGAGAGAGAGAGAGAGAGAGAGAGAGAGAGAGAGAGAGAGAGAGAGGAGAGAGAGGAGAGAGAGGAGAGAGAGTGAGAGGAGAGAGAGAGAGAGAGAGAGAGACGAGAGAGAGAGAGAGAGAGAGAGAGAGAGAGAGAGAGAGAGAAGGAGAGAGAGAGAGGAGAGAGAGAGAGAGAGAGAGAGAGAGAGAGAGAGAGAGAGAGAGGAAAGAGAGAGAGAGGAGAGAGAGTAGAGAGAGAGAGAGGAGAGAGAGAGAGGAAGAGAGAACGAGAGAGAGAGGAGAGAAGAGAAGAGAGGAGAGGAGAGATGAGAAGAGAGAGAGAGAGGAGAGAAAAAAAATCGAGAGAGAAGAGAGAAAAAAAAAGAGAGAAAGAGAGAGAAAGGCAACGAGAGAGGGGGAGAGAGAGAGAGAGAGAGCAAGAGAGAGAGAGAGAGAGAGAGAGAGAGAGAGAGAGAGAGATGGAAAGGGAGAAAAGAAGAGAGAGACAGAGGAGAGAGAAAGGAAGGGAGGAGAGAAAGAGAGGGGAGAGAAAGAAGAGGAGAACAGAGAGAGGAAGGAGAGGAATCAGAGAGAGAAAGAGAGAGAAGAGGGGGAAGGGGGGGGGAGAGGGAAGGGAGGAGAGGAGAAGAGTGAGGGAGGGGGAGGGAGGGCGCGGGGGAGGGAGGAGGAGAAGAGGAGAGGGGGAATGGGGGGAGAGGGAGGAAGAGACGGTGGAGAGGAGTAAAGAGAGGAGAGAGAGAGAGAGAGAAGGAGAAGAGA